AAAAAAAAAAAAAAACCTATTGCAAATATAGTCTAATATGTCGTAATAAAATCATGATAAAAAAAAAAACCACCACTCTTAACAACAATTCTGATCAATCCAAGAAACTATTTACCTTTTTAGTCCTCAATTTTGCAGGGTCTTGATAATGCAGCATCATTTTGGCCAACGGAACAAAACCCAGCACTCAAAAAACGATAATTGTATTACAAGAGATCTCGATTCTCATATCAGTCTTCTTTCTTCTGCTGTTGCTTATTCAACTCAAACAGATGGAAGAAACCGGTGAATTCCCAGCTCTCGCCCGTGATGATAAATCAAATCGAAACCCAAATTCGCAATTCAATCGAAATTGGAGTTTTTCGTTATAACATGTAAGTTCGTCGTTATCACACCAGAAAAACGACGATTTTTTGTTTATTGAAAGGTCTCTCTGTGACTCTCAAGAGTCAAGACTCAGTGTCGGAGTGCATTTATAATTGCAATATTGGAGTTATCTATTTTTTAGTATTAATTATTTAATTGGATTTCTTGCGCTCAGGAGCTTTATATCATCTATTCATGTTTTGTTTTTGTTTTCGTTTTTTGCTAAAATATTCATGTTTTGTTTGTTTATTGGGATTCAAGTCATTTTCCCGACTATTGCCTGTCGGTTTACTCTGTCGTTTCTTCTCGACTAAGGTTTCTCTGATCAGACTTCAAAAGACGAGTAGACGACTAGCTTTATAAATGGGCGTGGTGGGCTTTTACTGTACGGAGAGCCCGTATAAATTAGGCCCATTGCCATCTTGGCTGAATCGGAGGAATACGGGGATAATTTCCGTTCACTTCGCTGATTCGAGTTTATAATTCGAGTTGAGATGTGATTTTATGTGAGAAATTTTTACTGTAGCAAAAAAGTTAGATGTGACTGTTTCTGAGAGCTTTTTACTGTAGCAAAACTCAAATTCTAAACTTGAATCGGCGAAATGAACGGGGCCTTTGTTAGTTTCCGAATCGAATTCGGATGCGGAAACGTGAGGATAGCGGATCAAATGTAATAAAAATTTAGGAAATAGTAGAAAATAGGCCAATATGAAAAGTTTATGAAAGTATATAAGCCAATTTTTAGTTATAGAAATTAATAGGCCATAACTTGTCAAGTTATGGTTCATAACTAGATAAGTTATGGACAAACTTGTCAAGTTATGGTTCATAGTCAGACAAATTATGGACAATTATGGACAATAACTTGTCAAGTTATGGTTCATAACCAGATAAGTTATGGACGAAAACAGTAATTTGGCCTATTTATTAACTTATGTAAATTATTGGCCTATTAATTTTAATTCATCTCAAGTCTTGGCCTATTTTTCTCTTTCTCCCTAAAAATTTTTATAAAATTTTTAAGATATTTCATAGATTATATTAATTTATGCACGAATAAATTAATCACATTAATTTATTTATGAAGAACTTAATTAGGAATAATACCTGGCAGCCGATTAGAATGATAACTTGAGTTTTTTGATCTCAAACATTCCTTGCTCCAATGCCTTGTGTTTAGAAAACTAATGTCTTCCACGTCAATTCTTAAAATCCACGAAGACGTGTGTGTGGGCACACCTGAGACAAAATGAGTTAGAATAAACAGTCGAATTTTCACAAACACCAACGCATGCACGATGAGAAATTTTTAGAGAAAAATTTTTCCTTCCCACACTAAGAGAACTTCGGCCACACTAAAAATAATAGGTCAAAATATTATCTTATTTATAGTGTAGAAGTCAAACTTTGAGAAGGAATCCAATCTTTATCACTAAGATAAAACTTGTTAATTATTTTCTATTTGAATTTGAAACAAAAATCTCCTACTCTTTATCCTCAATATGGCTGGCCAACATTAGGTGATCATATCCCTGTGGTAGGCGCCAAATACAGATAGAGAAGGAAGAGAAAATCATCATTTATCCTGCAGTCCAATTTTGACTCAAAATTCAAATTCCAATTTAAGTCAAACTTAAATTATTTTGAATTCTAAATTGAACAACTTATCAGATAAGTTTAAAATGATAAATTTAAATTGTGTTCACACTATGCGATCCAAAATTCAAATTCAAATTTAAATAATCACATTATTTAATTTATAATTAATTATTCTCGAGTGTTTAATTTTAGAATTTCGTAATTCTAAAATTCTCATTTTGCCCTTTGTGTCTTGTAGAATTACTATGACGACGCGGGGAATAATGGACCTATAATTCTGAGCTCCAATAAAATTAATAATTAATTAAACACTTTAATTAATTAATTAATTCTATTAATTCCAATAGTTACTGTCATGCCCCCCCAACCGGGGTGGGTGACGTGGAACTCGATTTGGGATTAATAAAGCAGATTCCCAACCGGGTCCCACACTTAACTGCATTAAAATATAAATAAACGACATAATCCAGGAGCCTCTGACACACAGGGCTCCACCCCACAGGACATACAGTATCGTACATACATGCACATGTAAATAATCAATTACAACAGACATCATCCACAGTCTAGTAAATCCAAATGTCATTTATTACAAATTCGTACATATTCCTTACACTTTATGTCAGAGGATGAACACAATCCTCACTTGATC